CGCTCAATAAGCTTGAGTGAGGCAGGTGTCCTTGATGAATTGAGTTCATCACAAAAGCCATTGACATCATCCACTCAGTCCTCTGGAAGAATGAAGAAGATAAATGGTGATGTCCAACTTCTGAAGTTGAGGAAATCCATTGCAGAGGTTGTTCAAGAACTTGTTATGGGTCCAAAGCAAACCCCAAATATAAGGAGAGCACTTCTTCAGGATATTGGTAAACTGTGTTGCTTCTTTGGTGTGAGACAGAGTAATGACTCTCTCTTACCTATACTTCCTGCTTTCTTAAATGATCGGGATGAGCAATTAAGGACTGTATTCTATGAAAAGATAGTTTATGTCTGTTTTTTTGTGGGCCAAAGAAGTGTAGAAGAATATTTATTACCTTACATTGAGCAAGCTTTAAGTGACGTGACAGAAGCTGTCATTGTTAAAGCTGTAGAATGTTTGACTTTTCTATGCAAAAGTGGGTTCTTCCGAAAGAGGATATTGCTTCAAATGATAGAGCGTGCTTTTCCTTTATTGTGTTATCCTAGTGAATGGGTACGGAGATCAGTTGTCTCTTTTATTGCTGCTAGCAGTGAGAGCTTGGGTGCAGTAGATTCTTATGTTTTCCTTGCTCCTGTTATACGGCCTTTCCTCCGCAGGCAACCTGTGTCTCTTGCTTCAGAGAAGGCTCTTCTATCATGTTTAAAACCTCCTGTTGCAAGACAGGTTTTCTATGAAGTCTTGGAGAATTCCAGGAGTTCAGACATGTTAGAAAGACAGAGAAAAATATGGTATAGTTCTTCACAATCTAAATTATGGGAAATGGATTTACTGAAAAAAGGAATTGATGAGTTGGACTCATTAAAGAGTTGGACTGACAAGCAACAAGGTCCTGGGATTCAACAAACTGTTGGCACTGGCTTCCAACAACCAGGGCTAACTGATTGTGACAAAGCGGAGGCAAAATTGAGAGATATGGGAGTGTTTATGCCTAATGATAGCAATACTGTGGGACATCGTGATAACCAAAGCTTGGAGAAGTTACAGTTTTCAGGATTTATGTCACCAAATTTTAGTGGCATGAACAGTCTGACATATGAAAAGCCATCAGAAGGCATACCTTTGTATTCCTTCAGTGTGGACAGGCGAGGAATGGGAATCACACCTGCAGCATCGGATCCTCCATTACCAATGAATTCTCTCGGTGTTAGTTCATCTGCAATGCCTTGGGTTAATCCACATAGTAAGTCCTTTAATTTGGCTAGTTCAGTTCCAGCACCAAAGCTTTTTTCAGGTTCTTTTAGTATCAGCAATGGTTCTAAACAGTTTCATCGAGTGGTACATGAACCAGATGCCAGGGAAAATGAGACAGCCTATGTTAGTAGCACATTTCAAGATGTGGGATTATCTGCTAATATTAAAGGTACTTCAGTCGCACTGGAAGATGCAACTGCCCAAACTGATCTATCAGGATTTCCATCTTTTACTCGAGCATCCATTCCTGATTCTGGTTGGAGGCCCCGTGGAGTGCTGGTTGCACATCTCCAGGAGCACCGTTCAGCTGTCAATAACATAGCTATTTCTGCTGATCATTGCTTCTTTGTGAGTGCATCTGATGATTCTACAGTCAAGATTTGGGATTCCAGAAAGCTGGAAAAAGACATTTCATTCAGATCAAAGCTAACTTATCACCTTGAGGGAAGCCGTGTGTTGTGTGCAACAATGCTTCCAGGTTCTACACAAGTTATAATTGGAGCATCCGATGGATTTATTCATATGTTTTCTGTTGATCATATCTCTAGAGGTCTAGGAAACGTTGTTGAGAAATATTCGGGTATTGCTGATATCACAAAGAAGGATATCAAGGAAGGTGCGATACTCAACCTTTTGAATTGCCCTGTGGATAATTATACCATTATGTATAGCACCCAGAACTGTGGCATTCATCTGTGGGATACTAGGTCAGATTCCAATACCTGGACACTCAAAGCTACTCCTGAGGAGGGCTATGCTTCTTCTCTGGCATCAGGGCCTTGTGGTAATTGGTTTGTATCGGGGTCATCCCGGGGAGTTATTACACTTTGGGATCTGAGATTTCTTATACCTGTGAATTCTTGGAAGTCTTCTCTTGCTTGCCCTATAGAAAAAATGTGTCTCTTTCTTCCTCCTTCAAATGCTTCTGTGTCTTCAGCTGCTAGACCCCTTGTTTATGTGGCTGCTGGCTGCAATGAAGTTTCTCTTTGGAATGCAGAGAATGGTAGCTGCCACCAGGTATGAGGATACTGTTTTTTAATTGTTTGTAGATAATAAAAACTAAAAAGCAATACGTGCTAGAACAAAATGCAATACCGACAAATAGTCCAGCTAAGTTCAAATTTCTATTTATCCAGAGATGATATGGATTTCAAAATTTATCATCTTTTGTTTTTTTCACTATTGTGTAACTTAATTTATGATGAGATGGTTCCATAAGGCTTATTGCATGAAACCTGCACCCAGATTGCTATAACCATGTTGAATCATAAGTAATATTTCATATTTATAATATTCTGAATCTCTGATTATTGTCTTGTACAATTAACAAATATTCTCTCAGGTTCTAAGGATGGCCAATTATGAAAGTGATGCCGAAATGTCTGATCTGCCTTGGGCCTTGGCCAGACCTTCAAGTAAGCCAACTTCTCAATCAGATCTAAGACGAAATGTTAATCGTAAGTATGGAGTTGATGAGTTAAATGAACCTCCTCCTCGTCTTCCTGGTATTCGTTCATTACTTCCCTTGCCTGGGGGTGATTTATTGACTGGAGGCACTGATTTAAAGATACGTCGTTGGGATCATTACAGGTTTTGTGTTAAACTTTCTATCTTGTTTACATGTTTTTCTTGCATGATGATCTAATTGAATTAATCTGTGTTCTTTGTTTGCAGTCCTGACAGAAGTTACTGTATATGTGGACCAAACTTGAAAGGAGTAGGAAATGATGATTTTTATGAAACAAAATCTAGTTTTGGGGTTCAAGTTGTACAGGTAATTTATGTTTCAGTATATTGTATGTTCAGGCTTCTTATTTCTTGTGTACATGGATATTTTGTTTTGAGGGGCGAGGTTCTCAATCAGCATAGGTGCCAAAACTGGATTTTTGGTTTGTATGGCCGAATAAAATATCAATGTAGGCACTTCAACTATCCTTGAGATAGCCTGGGTAGTTTACTTTTGGTTGATTCAGCTAAACAATCCTTCATCTTCTCTGGTATTTTTTTTTTTTTTTTGAAAACAATGTTTAGGAGGGGAAGAAGGGAATGGGTCCCAAGAAGGAATCAACGTTTGATAGGATGACCGATTAAAGCATGGGGGACAGGAACCTTTACATTTTTCAACAAATTCTGTGTTTTGTAATGGCTAAATCTTTGTTATCCCTGTGAATGTTTTACGGCTTAAATTCATGATACCTTCCAAATGCTGTTTGATATTGCTTGCCTCTGTAAACTTTCCAACTTGTTTGGAAATGTAGGCAGCTAAAATTTTATCTTTTACAAACAGGAAACGAAAAGACGTCCTCTTACAATCAAGCCGACGACGAAGGCACTTCTTGCAGCTGCTGCCACTGATTCTGCTGGTTGCCACCGTGACTCTGTTGTTTCTTTGGCTTCTATTAAGTTAAACCAAAGACTCTTGCTTTCAAGTGGCAGAGATGGGGCCATCAAGGTTTGGAAGTAAATTTCTAAAGTCGATCTTGGTTATTGGTGTACATAAGTAGTTTCAAATCATAGTAGTTAAAATTGTACATAAATTAAATTATAGGAAGTAACCCACCTAGTCATGAAAGTCCCTCCTCCCCCAACTCTGTATATTTTCCAAATTTTGTAAACCTGATCATGAACAGGCATTACGTCTCTACTAAGCAGAATCCGTCTAACAATTGAATCCGTTTGTTTTCAGTGTGATATTGATAATTTAACGTACTACCATTTTCCAGGAACAAATATTTTGGGTTTTTGATATTATTTTTAGATAAGACCTTGGACTAGGACTTTTATTTGAAGGTGACTTGGTGGTGGTCTTTTAAACACATCAATGTATGAGGAATTTCCCTTATGATGTTCGAGTCTTGTGGGTCCAATTAGTTGCGATTACTCGTTTCATGGTTTGGATATTTCAAAATAAATAAATACTAATCTATTTTATAAAAACGAATCAAATTAATGGAACTTTTTTTTATAAAATGTTTTTTTTATGTGGATTGGATATTTTTAAAATAGATTGATTTGGTGCAGTTTGATTATTTTATACTTATATTCGAGATTTTTTTTTAAATCAAATTGAATTCAACCTTTATAAAAGTGGATTTGTTAAGCAATCTGATTTTACAAAATGATTTGTTTTAATTTTTTCTCAAAATAAACTGATTAGGTTTTAGATGGGTTCAATTTTATTTCTCTTCGCACACCTACCAAAATCTGGTTTGAGTATGCAAGCCTCCCAAGCCAAGTGACAAGCAAAAGTGGTTTAAAGTTTTGAGACATGGGGCCGGTTTATTAAAGCTAAAAAAATGATTATGAAAGTGTTTTTTTTTCTTCTTAAAGTAATTGTCTATTTTAAAAAAAATATTTTTCAAAAGAAAGTATAAACAAACGGAGCAAAGAATGTTGCCCTTCGTTCTTTGTCTCCCCTTCTGTTTTTTTTTCCCCCCTTACGTACGGCCTAGTTTTGGTGTGTTTTTATGTCATCAGATTTTTATAGTTACAACAAAAAATCAACATATGTTTGTACTTAAATCAATTAGCCTTCAAACGTATACGTTGAGAACTAGGAATAAAAAATGAATTATTTTCGGATCACGGATGGGGATTCCGTGCTGGTCACTTTTTGGGTGCGAGATCAATGTTCAGTTTCCGCCAATAATGAACAAGAGACGTTCAGGTTCAATGTAAAAGTGATGCTAGGAATGTTTGATGACAAGGTTGATAAGTATTAAGAAAGGTAAATATGTGTGGGGTCACATCAATTTTGGTTAGATGTGGATAAGTAGAAATAACAATTAATTACTTTTACATGAATTTTAATGTGCATATTACATAACTATGACAGCCTTCGTACTGTGCTTGAAAAATTATCTTGTACTTTTGCAACATATCATTCAAATTGTAAACTGCATTTGACAGATGAGAGGCGGGGAAATCCTAAATCACTTCTTTTGAGTTGCGACAGATTTATGAATCATCACACATATATACATATTTATTCTCGTGGGGATGTAATTTACGATGAATAGATAATGTACAACTAAATTCATATTCATGTTGGTTGACCAACAAGAACTAGTGATGCATGTTTGATGACTCTTGAGACTCTCCAAACTTCGTGTTGTACACGATGCCATGATTCTGCAGAATGAAGATTTTCGGCCATTTTAACAGCATCATCGATTCCAGGGAACGATTGAGAGCCATAGTCATTATGTTTTGATGGTCCATAGATCTAACAAATGGAATTAAAAGGGAAGACTTAATAATTTAATGTTTGAATAACTTTAAACAAAAAAAAAAAATTCTACTAGTTAATTAGATCAACACTAAAAGTGAGATGAGGTGAGAAGGGGGAGATATTTCCAAATTTTCTCCATTATTTCTATTCCCTCAATTTCATCTCTCTTTGTTGTGGCTTATATTACCTTGGTTTATTATCAAAATAAGTATTAAGTTTAATATTATGCACTACCTGTTTAAAAACTTTAACATTATTAATCAACCAAAAACAGGTATTGATATATTAATTATTATAAAAGTCAGTAAACTTATTTTATCATACATAGTGATGATTTGTGAATGAATGTGTGGAATTATTATGCACTGCTGGGGTAAAACATATTATCTCTCAATTTAACTTACCAAATGCTTATGCCAAGACATTCCAAAGAGGCCATCTCTGTCGGTGAACGCACGCTCAGCCATCATCAATCTATCATTCAACTCTCTCACTTTCAAGTGGTCCTTCTTACGTGTTATCCAACTTTTACTTGCTTCTATTTCCTGAACAATCACATTTCATTGTTTTGCACAAGAACCAACATATATGCTTTTGGATATTTAAAAAATACTCGACACATACCCTTCTCTGGTTATTTATTTTGATCGCTGCTTTCTCAAGCTCTTTGATAGACTTGAATATAGGTGACAAATTTATGTCTTTATTTGAAATCTCATCCTCCAGGTTCTTCACGCTAAGCTGTGATTTAAATATTTGGTGTTGTAAAGTATATTTCATGCTCTCAAATTTATTAAGCATAGTCATTGCATAAAATTACATTAAATCACCATCTAATGTAGGCACACCTGGAGCTCCTTAGCATAGGAAAGATAATCAAAAGGTAAGATTTCTTCATCTGCTAACCAAAGTGCTGACCCCAAACACTAGCCGCTGTTTTTCCACAAATAAGCAATTATTGGGATGAGTGAATTAAGAATTTGTTAAATTTAAATTAAAAGTGTTTTTGAGAACTTCTTTATCGAAATTAAAGAGTTATTTCCAGTTTCCAGTGGAGAAACTCTTGAAAACACTTTTAAGCTTGTATCCAAATAGTTAATAAGATTCATACTTCAAACCGGTAAATAGTGAGATTTAAATAAGGCTTACTTAAAGAAGCATGGTAACAAAATTTCCCCTCTAACTCTGTGTTTTGTGTCTTCTTATTGTGGAAAATTTACCATGTTGAAATTTGCTTGTTTATCTTACATATCTATGGTAAGAAAATTAATTTATATGTAATTATGTACCAAACTCTTGATTATTTTTAGATTGAAGATATAAAAGTAGATCCTTAATTCACTTTGATGTCACTAGAGTCAACCTTATAGAAACTTAACCTATGAAAGAAACTTATGTGCTCAACCTGCAACATGCCTTTGAAACATAGGATCACCGAATTTTTCCATCCAGACGAAGTCATCATAGAGTGAGTGGTATACCGGGTATCCTGCAATATCTGACAAAAAGGAGGGGGGAAGGGGTGTCAATGATCTTAGTGTGTGTTTGGTAAGACATATGATGCCATTAGATGTGGATCTGAGGAAGCAACTATTAGTTGCTTTCTATCAAAATTGATGTGATTCTAGTTTAGATATGGATCCCAAACGCACATCCAAATATGTCCTAAAAGCATGTTTGAATTCACATCAATTTTGCTTAGATTTGGATCAGTAGAAGCAACGATTAGTTGCTTTTGCATCAATTTTGATGTGATTCATGTCTAAAGTTGAATCATGGATGTGAAACCAAACATGCACTTACTCTACTAATATCTAGGAATAGATATATTCTTATTTGCTAACTTTTGAGACCAGCTCGAGAGATATTTTTTTCCTACCAGGTCAATTTAATTCTCATCAATCAACAAATTTTCCAAATGACAACGTTTCTCCAAGTCTGTCTTGTCCTAGTTTGAGATTGTTGTTCAGAAATAGAAGGAATTTGAATTTCACTGAAAGTACTGTGACTTTTTTTTTTCATTTGGTTACTTGTTTGACCAGAACAATGACATGCATTTGCATACGTGAGAATAATTATACATCAACACATCTTAATGAACAAAACTATGTCGTTTACCTCCTCCAAAGGCTATGTCAGCAGCCGGGATTCCCACATGCTGCAAAAAAGATGCATAATCTGATCCTCCACCTCCTAACCTTCCAAACTTTCAGTATAGGGAAATAGTTCATTAGAATAGCTAGAAAATGAGATATTCAGATAGTACAACTTCTCTAAAGTTTAATTCCCGTTGATCACTGGCTAATTGTTGAAATTAACAGCAAAGTAAATTGAATTTATACACTCTGCAATGCTGATTTTGGTATTTCCTAATCCATATCCCTGAGATATTTAGTTAGATTCATAACATTGAGATATAAACGACTGCAACATGCTCACCAGAGAACTACTAGAACTAGTCCAAGATTCATAAATGCTTTGTGATGAGTTATCAGGGTCTTTGACCTACAAAAGAATCAACACTAACAGAAGTGGTTGGTGCCACCACCATGTATCTTATTTCCCTGATTATTTACAAAAAAGCCTTATTCTATTACTTTTAGTTCAACTTTGGTGATACCTGCTGAGTTGCTCTCTTGATCAATTCATCAAGCTGTGGAGTAGCACGGACATTGAACCCTGGTCCCCCTACTGCACAGTCAGCATTCAAGTAAGCAACTGCCCTTGAAGAAAGAATTTCTCTGTTTTCTTCTACCCACTCTGTTGATCCAATCTGGAGGGAATGATCATATTTATATCAAACTTTCATGCGAGGAAAATTGAAATAACTTCTCCATAAGAAAAAGAGACAGAGCCTGTTTGGATAAGTTTTTCCAAAGAGATAAATAGGGAGGAAAATTGAAATAACTTCTCCATAAGTTAAAACTAGTTTATGCATAAGTTGAAAATAAGATTTTTGAGAAGTTAATAAGAGAGAACCTCTACAAATTAACTTATACATAAAGCTAATTTTAGCTTATGAAGAAACTTATTTCATTTTCCTTCCTATTTTTCTTTCTTAGGAGTGTTTCTGGAAAAATTTATCCAAGCAAAAGAGATAAAGAGAATTACAAGGCCATATTCCTCAGCTTCCCAATTGCATAATAGAATTGTTCTTCTAGGTCTCCACCCTCTTTTCTGAAGCTTCCCTAGCCTTTGGGCGATCTAATTTCAGGAGCCATGTCACTTGTGCCATTAGCTCCATTTTTTCTCAATGGTTTGACATAAACAGACAATACAATAACCACAAACAAAACCATTGTTACCTCAAGTAGTGCTGCAGTGCCACTATTGGGATCAACAGCTCCAAATGTCCACGCATCCCTATGGTTCCCTAGAATGACAAATCTACAAGCAATTGCAATAATGACTAAACCAAAAATTTCAAGCAAACAAGATTGTGAATATTCAAAGTTCTCAATCATGGCTGCATCACATCTCATTCCTTGTCCATAAAAGGAGGAAGTCTTGCATACCGGTCCGGCTCTTCTGCCCCTTCAATCACCCCAATAACATTTTGAATTGTGGCTATTACATCCTGCCCCTGAAAACCAGTATACAAAAATCAACTCATTACTTAACCAATCCACTAAAGGCTTCTTCTTGTTTGAGTGACCAATAAGGGTCTTTTGCATATGACATTTTCACAAGCCCATAATCGATAACAAAATAAAATTTTAGAAAGAAAAGAATGACAAAGTTCACGGGATAAGTCATAAATTTCTCAATAGGAAACAAATGAAATAAGTTTCTCTGATGAATTAATTAACTTATACATATGCTAATTTGCAGAAACTTTCTCAACTAACTTCTCCAAAAAATGATTTTAACTTACATATAAACTAATTTTAATTTATGGAAGAAACTTCATTCAGTTTCTCTTCTTATTTTATTTTCCTATAACTACTTACTGAGAAATTTATCCAAACAAGACTTTACTCATAACTTACAACTGACAAATTAACTTAAACATGCGGTAAAATAGTAAAGACAAAGGTAGATAGATACCATGTAACTAAGATTGAGAATTCCTGGTCCTGGTCCAAGCCTGTAAACAGGAGCATCCTTGCTTCCCTGCCAATCATCCTCAGCAACTGGTCCACCAACTGACCTCATTATCTTCTCCCCATCAGCAGCTGACACAGGCAATGAAGGTATGAGAGGAACTTCACCTCCCTTCTCCACCTCATCCTTGTTCAACCTCTCACACTCATCACCACTTGCCCAACCAGGAGTTGTGGGGTCCCCTAACCCTCGATACACTGAACCCACCTGGACCCCACTTGGTGGCAGCCACTTCTCTTCAGGAAACCACCCTCCCTCCCCACCACCACCATAGTCCTTCCTATCTGAATATATCACCACCCCAACAGCACCTGCATCATATGCATTCTTCACAATGTCCCCTCTATATATCTTGCCATGCCTTGCCAACACAATGGTGCCTGATGTTGAGAATATACTTAAATATCTTTAGTTCGAAAAAAAATAATTTAGTTTCTGGGAAGTTTGTTATGTTTCAAATTTTTAGGATATTGGTTAGAGTAAGTTCTTCTTATCATCATAGTAGGTTTAGGATATTGAGGGTGTTAAGGTGTATGACCTTAAGAACATGGGAATTAATTTTTTTTGAAGAGTTTGATAAACACCGAATTGGAGGACATTTCTCTCGGCTTGAGTTTTTTTGCATAAGTAAGAGTTAGGATTCGAACCTCAGTTACTTGGTTAAACAACAATAGTCCCTTGCCACTAACACAACTCAAGTTGGTATATTGAGCATATTTAAATACAGAATTTTTTTAGAGTTTCACAATTGAAAAACAATTCTTTAGTAGCGAAACTCTTAAAAATACTTCTAAACTGCATCCAAAAAGACTCATTATTAACTTGAATTTAATATGATAATGTTAGTAATTAATATTTAAATTTTTGTATTACGGTTTTGCTCCATCTATACAAAGGTAGCTCATGAATAAAAATATAACAAGAAGAAGCTCCTCCTGAAACTATCAATATATGAAATACAAAATACAAACATAAAAAAAAA